TAAGGGCTTTTTTGAAATTCAGATAATATTTTTTTCTGTCTCTTTCCCTATCTCAAGATCGAATTTATGAAACAATAAATGTAAGAACAACCTCATCCTCCTCCTTCTTCAGTTTACAAGAACATCCTGAGGATTTTCTCCTGTTTCTACCACAAGCTCATATTCCACTGGCTTCATTGCACACTGCTCAATACACATCCCAAATATTTGTATTACAAAATCAACACAGAATTTTCCTCTATACCTTCTTATTAAAGAATAAGATATCTTGTGCTTTTACATATTTTTAAACTATCTGGGACTGATGTAGATTACATATGTATGATGACTTTCATGAAGATCCTAATCCTTTCCCTTCTTCTGGATTTTATCATCTGCAAGGGTACCTGTGACACTGATTTCTTTGCTGTCTGATCTTCTCAAAACGCACTCTGACTGCAAGTGTTTGCTTTCCACTTGGTTTTGCTTTTCTCTCATCCAATGAAACAAAACAGCTGTTTGAGCTAAACAATGTTAAAGTCCATACTTGTCGAATTACATTACTGATTATGTCCCCTGTAGGCTGTAGTCAGTGGAGGAGAACATGAGTTCATACACTTGAGCAAGTCTGACATTTTATCTGGCAGTGTCTGTGTGTATGCAAATGTATCACAGAACTAACTGTTAACCAAAACTGACACACAAAGCAGCATTAAGTGTGAGCTACAGACTAGCTAAACCTGAGTAGTTAGATTTAAGCTTCATTACAACTCTTTCAAATGACCTGTTTACCTATCCTATGATAGTATGATGGCATGAAAAGATCACAGAATCATCAAGTTAGAAGGGAGCTCAAATGTCATCTATTCCAAATGCCTGCAAGTACAGAAACCAACAGTTAAAGCATTCTTGAGTGATGAGGGGTTACAAATAATATTCAAAAATATTTTTTTTTAAAAAAATGTTGAAAATATGTTTCTCTAGTATTAGGAAACCATACCAAGGAAAATCTTGGATTGACAAGAATCTTCTCAGGCCAGGCCTTATTCTGCCAAATAAATAAATAAATAAATAATCACATGTGGTATTTTTGCACCGAGCATAGTGTGAAAATATAACAAAAGCAACATGTGTTTGTGTGTGTGCATGTGAAAAACACAATTAAAAAATAAATGTGCTAAGTTTGTGCAGAATAAGTCCCCAACCACAGTTTTTCTGTACAAGAAACAGCATTTTCTGCACTGAAAATAATAGTTCTGTGTAGATTTACAGAAAATGATTTTTGTTCTGCAGAACATGCTGCTCTAGTCTGTACAAAATGTCCACCTTTATTTGTTTGCTTGTGTTTTTCACACAAACCAAAGAGCATGCTATTTTTATAGTATAATGTGCAAAAAATTGCATGCAAATTTTGTGTAGAACAAATCCCAACTGCTAATAGTTTTCTTGTAGTGGAAACAAAATGGCTAAAATTATTGTTTCCTTCAAAGACAAAATTAGCAAATAATTGCATCCATAGAGCTGAGACATAAGAGATTATCAGACCAGAGGAAATCTGGGGGCAGGGGCAATAATCCTGGCAAAGTAGCATGATTGTGCTGTAGATTTTCAGATGACATCACACTTATCCAGGACTTAACCCATGAAAAAACAGCAAGCAAACCATTCACGGGACTTCCCCATGAATTGTTTGTTGCTGGAGCATTGCTGGTTCTTCATGGGTTAAGTCCTGGAGAAGCACAATGTGTCTGAAAATCTTCAGCACAATCATGCTACTTTGTAGGAAATATGCCTTTTGCTTCCAGCTTCCCCCCCCCCATATGATAATCTTCATAGCCTTCTGAGTGTTGTTTAAATACTTTGAATGAAAGATAACAGTCTTTCCCATGATTCAACAGATCTTACAATCAGAAAATTCCTCCTGTTTTTAAATATGCATGCACGAGTTCTCCAAAGCTCAGAAATGATACTAGTTCTCCTACCTAACCACCTGCGGTCACATTTTGGGAGAAAGGAGGCATGTAAATGAACTAAGATGAATAAATAAGCCATGCCCCAGATTAGAGGACCTCGTATTTCCCCCCCATCTCAGTCTTCCACCCTATGTCCACCCTAATCTCTTGCAATCCTGAGACTCTCTGCCATCCACACTCTAAAAACTATGATCACCTTCCTTTCCTTTTTAAGTTGGAATCAGAACCAGGATCATGTGGAGGATTAAAAGGATTTCCCCCCTTCTTTCTTACATGCTGAGTAGAAATACAGTGAGTGATGGAAGATGATTTGCTTGCAGTGACTTTCCACAGCAGGAGTTCCACAGACAATTTTATTTCTCACAAGGTACTGGGCTCTGATTCCAAAGGGACTCTAATTAAGAAGTCATAGATGAAAATAAATTGAGTATTTTAGTGGGTAATGAACTTGGGAGAGATGACTGTAAATGGCAGCAAAGGTGACTTTTGGTTGAGACAGCAAGGCATAAGGTGGTGCAAGACAAGAGTTTGTCCTGCCTACCTATCATTCCTACTGCTGCAACTTGCGCACAGAATTAAGCGTTGCTGGTTTTAGGTGCAGTCATCCATGCTGGTGAGGCATTGGAAGCTGGGGCTTGTTGGGGACTTGGGAGCCAACCCCTTGTGGAGAGCAGGCAGAATTATGCCAAGCTAACAATAGCCAGTCAGGAATAAGCTGGCAACAGTCAATATAATCTTGGGCTGTTGGTGATAAAGAATTCTGTTGCTGACAGATAGAGTCAAACCAGGTCTGGTTGTGTAAGAATCCAGAAAACAGGAACGGTGAGGGAAAAGTCCAGTAGTGAGGGACTTAAGGCCTTTACAAACTGCCAGAAATATGATAAGGAATCATGGGAACTGTAGATTATTGTGGCACTAGAGCTCTCTGACAGAGAAGGCTCAATGTCTCAGAACAACTACAATTCCCATGATTCCCATCAGACTGATGAAAAAATGAAAGATTCCTTAGATAAAAGTTCAATAACAAAGATAACATCTGAACAAAAAGAAGCTCTAAACCAGGGGTAGGCAACCTTTACCCTTTAAGGGCCGAGGGACTTCAGCTCCCAGAAACCTCAGCCATGTTGGCCAATAGTCCCATGTTGGCCAATAGCTCCTGGGATTCTGGGAGCTGAAGTCCCTCGGCCCTTAAAGGGGAAAGGTTGCCTATCCCTGCTCTAAACACACCCTTCACATATTAAGAGATAATATAATTATTTCTCTACAATTATCAAATGCCTTCTCCGCAGCAATGAATATTAGCACCAATTTTTTGTCATTGTTCACATTGTAATATTCAATAGTGTTTAATAGAGTTCTAATGTTATTTCTTATTTGTCTGCTAGGTAGGAATCCATTTTAGTCTTTGTTTATTATTTTTACTAAAATGTTTTTTAATCTTTTAACTAGCATTGCTGTGTAGACTTTATAATAGTTGTTTAGGAGTGGAATTGTGACCAATGCTTTAGCTTTGTCTTCTGAACCTTTACAAAATGGAGTAAAGTATAGTACTGCAGTTGGAAAGCTCCTATACATAATCAACTTCACCAGACCTGACATAGCAAATGTTAACATCTTATGCAGAATGGTCAAATACCCTACAGAAAAAGATTTCATTGAATTTAAGAGAGTTGCCAGATAATTAAAAGGAACAGCAGATTACAAACTGATGCTGCCAGCTTGTCAACAACCACAGCTGATCGACTGGGCTGCAGATCTGGCAGTCAGCCACCAGAAATTTGATTTTCTATTGTGAAGAAGCTGTAAGTTGGACAAGTAAGAAGCAACCAGCTATTACTGGTTCTTTTACTGGAACAGAGTGTATTTCAGTGAAAGGAGCATGTGAGAAAGTCAAATGTCTGCACAACTTGCTCATAGACTTTTGGATAACAGTACCCAACCCAACCATTGTGAAGCAAAAATAATCAGAGCTGCATCAGGATTTCTGAAAGTGAAAAGCCACTTAAGAAGAACATCAACATTGTATTTCACAAAGTGCAGGAGATGTACAAGAATGGACTTGTCTAACTAAAATACTGCAACACAGAGGTTATGATTGCAGATATCCTCACTAAACTTCTACCAAAAGATTAATTACAGAAGCTACATGAAGGAGTGAAGAGCCTCAATGTTGGTCCAGGAGAATGAGAAGGGAATTGTTGGGAAAATAATGCTTTGTATTTTCATTTTTCTTCTTACTTAGGCAGGACTTCACCCCTCCTCCTTTCTCATTCTGTCAATCTTAAGAGACAGTTTATGTGACTCTCTGAACATTCTAAACGGTCAGTCAGTAGATGCTTGTCAGTTGTCTGTAACAGTCCTCTCTGAGGGAGATTAACATCTCTCTTCCTGATTTATAAACTCCAGTTAGATTAGGTTTTAATTTTTTTATGTAAATATTTCTTAAAGCCATTATTGTTTGTTTTTAAACCATAAACTACATGTTTGTTTGTTTTGAGTTAGTCTTTATTCTTTAGGAAGATAGATTTAAAGTAATTGTCTGACCCACGTTTTTGCTGCTCTGCTGATGAAAGTGAACTCTAACAAGTTTAACTTTCATACCTGCATATTTTAATTTGCCTTTAAAAGGGTTAAGACCCTGGAAACAAAGGGGCTAAGCAGACGGGCGGCACGGGGCCGCCCTGGGAAGCTGCAGATCGGGGCCAACGCATCCGCATTCCTCGGCCCTGTGGCACAGCTTCGCCACCCCAGGAAGGAGCGCTAAAATAGTGCTCCTTCCACAAATCGCCGAAGGTGCGCCGCAAAAGGCTGCTGGCATACCTTCGGTGACTCTTCCACTGCAGCATGTGCAGACGCTGCAGCGGAAAGGCATTGTCAGAGCGCTGGCCATGTGGAGGGCTGGCTGCTCCAACGACGTCTTCGGGAAGGGGTTGGGGTGCCCAGCGTGCGGCTGCCCCTCCCCTTCCTTGGCCTGAAGACGGCGCTTTGCGCCATCTGCTTAGCCCCAAAAATTTCAACCCACATTTAGGTCACCTATTGGGTCACCATGGCCAAATGAGGATTTGAACCCTGGTCTCCAGAGTTGTAGTCCAACACTCAAACCACTACGCCACTATGGCTCTCTTTCAAAGTTATACAAATCATAATTTATAATGTTCTGCTCATGGTTTTTGGTTGCTAAAGCTCTTCAAGTAATCACCTGACATGACAACATCACAAATGAGTCAAAACAATCAGATTGTTGACCCTCAGTTTATACAAGGCAGAAAAGAAAAAGAATATGTGCAGGGAAATGGAATAGCTAAGTTTTGGAAAGGAACACATTGGAGTCTGTGATGGTGGTAGGTAAAGGGAGTAGGTGAATCTAGAAAAAGAAGTCTGGTGAAGTATTCCAGGCTAGATGGAAAGACTAAAACAGCTGCAGAGCTATGGAAAATTATACATGCACACGTTCTTTGTCATATTCTTTTTATTTCAGGAGATACTCAATGGAGTGACCATTTTGCAGTGCTAAATTCCTTCCAGACTATAAAGTTTGGGAAGAACTTTTGTTATAATTGTAGAAATGGTCCTAGCAGCTGGGAAGAAAATAGACCTCATGGCATTCAGCTGATTTTGATTGTCTCGATTTGCATCCTTGGTAGGATGCTAAATGGAAGAATTCTGCTTGTGATTTATCTGATGAATCCCACACTGATTGAACAGATTAACATTAACACTTGCTACTGCCGTAGACCAGTTTTTTTTAAAAAAGCTGTAGTAGCTTAAACTGGCAGACAATCAAAGAAACAGTTCTCAAAAATGAATGAATGGATAGAGGAAATAATAAAATTAGATACCAATTTTTTAAATGTTTCTCTTTCTTCTTGACTGTGCATCACTAAATACTATAAAAACTGTCACAGTAAAGGGCAAACAGATATAAATAGACTGATGAGGCATGAAAAATCAGAAATTATTAACTTTGTATTGTTAAATCAAGTAGAGGTAGTTATCCATTTGTAGATAGAAAACTTTTGAATCTGATTGATTTCTACCAGTCTGATTTCCCCTTTTTCAGTTTTTTAATGCATCAAAAATATATCAGTGCATTGGGGCTTCCCATGATTCAGTGTTATATTCAAAGGGTTAAATATAGAAACCAATAGGTGTATTCTAATGTTTTATTCCAATCCATAGAAACTTTAAAACAAGAACGGAAAATCTGAGGCCCTCTTATTGAAGCTGGATGGCAGCTCCCATCAGCCCCTAACAGGTTATTCAATGGTCAGGAATAATAGGACTGCACTATCCATTTTTGGCTTAAAGCATACATTATCACTAAACAGTATGGCTCTACCTTTGTATCAGCACTTCCTATGTTCAGTTCCATATTTCCCAAAATTTGTGTTTGCAAAGAGTAAACACCAGAGTGAAAGGCCTACAGAAGCAGTGAAGGGTGATGATATGGTGTTTAGGTTTGACCACAGAACTGGGCAGATCCAAAATTATGTCTCTACTTAGCCATGGCACCCTAACAGAAAGAGGTAACTAGAACAGTATCATTTGATAGTGTGCTATGCTTTTTCACAGCCTCTACCACAATTCTTTTGCAAGCACTGTTGCTCACCCTAACAGCCAACTCTCTACTTTCTGATGCATACATTGTGCACACCAAACTTAATTTTGGTCTGTTCCCATTTCAGTAAGAACTTGTCAAGCTTGCCCTGACCAAATTCACATATAAAATGGAATGCATATTTCTTTCTATATTAACTCTCCTCAGAATCTTGTAATAAGAGCTTTCTAACCCTCCCCACCAAAACCCTCATACAATAATAAATATATTAAGGGTATAAGAAAATCTGTACTAGGAGCAAATAAATACAATGATCCATATATTTTTGGAAAAGACAAAACAGCATTACACTGTATCACATTATATCTGCATGTAATTAAAAATAATTATATTTACCCTCTTTCTATTCCCTTAAAGTTCCCTCCCTTCTGATCTGTTTAGCCAAAGCATTTGACTGCATAAATCATAAAAGACTATGGAACACTCTCAGAGAAGTGGGAGTGCCATGACATTTGGTTGTCCTGATGAGGAAACTGTACTTAGGACAAGCAATTCATGATCGGTACCACAGTCAGTACCTGATCTAGTCTTGGCCATCAGAATGGCCATCTTTTGCTTCTGATTATATATAATCTATCATTATATAATCTATTTTGCATTGGCCATATGGCCACTTCTGATAGTCCTGACGAGAAATATGTACTTAAATGTAGGACATGCTATAGATTTGAATCAGTGGGAAAAGACATGGTCAAAAAATTGAAATATACACTAAGCAATAATTTAAAAGAGAATTATTATAAAATGCTATATAGATGGTATATTACTCCATTCAAATTATCAAAAATCTATAACAATGGAAAAAACAAATGTTGGAAATGCAAGAAGGAATTGGGCACATTTTATCATATGTGGTGGGAGTGTAATCAGGCTAAAAAATATTGGAACAAAATTCATCATGCTATGGAAAAGATTTTAGGCTGCAGGATTGTAAAGAAACCTGAAACTTTTTTGTTAAATATAAATGATGAGGATGTTTTGGAAAAGAAATTCAGCAGACTAATATTTTATATGACAATAGCCTCTAGGATGACTTATGCATCAAAATGGAAACAAACAGAAATTACTGAGAAAAAAGAATGGATATGGAAACTGTATGGCTTAATGGAAAATGATAGACTAACCCAAATTTTACAGAAAAAAGATCCCATGATATTTATGAAAATATGGAAACCATTTATTGAGTATGATAAACAAGAATATGGTCAGACATGGGGTATTGGTATTGGAGTAATTGTTTAAGTTGAAAAAGAATATAATTATGAGTTTTTTAT